TCAAGAAAAAGCATTTGGATCTACCTGTATGAAGGCAGATCAGAATAGAACGACAAAGACAGATGAGAACACTGAGTCCGAGGTTGTAGATAAAGTTCAAAGGGAGACAGTATTGCTGGGTGAAAAAAGTGGCAAATCTCTGGCAAATGACCCACAAAATCAAACTAATGCAGAGGCAAGTTCAGCCGTTTGTATTGTGTCGCCCAAGTGTGAACAGCTCAAGATAAGCAATAAGGAAAGCTTTGATGTCTCGCTGACCAACTACAAAAAACAACAGGTGCACAAAAACATTGTGGAGGTGAGAGACCCTTACGGGGACATGCCAGTACTCGAGAAGGAATATCTCAAAGAAGAAATGCAGCCTCTTGGTTGTTTCAAGGCGAAAGATCAGAGTGACCATCTTCAGCAAAAGCAGGACAAAACAGATGAGACGATCGCTGACGATGAGAACCGATGCGAGGATGAAAAACATGAGCAGGGTGACGGGAGGAAGGAAGGTCCTTATGTGCCCAAAGGTAAGATACTGATCACATTGAGTACAAATATACAATTCTAAACATTTACAGATGAGTTGTTGCAGAGCTAAGAAAAACATAACAACACTGCTGCCCTCATTGCTTTCATTGTAAGTCTGGATGCCTAACTTTTTCACTGCCTCAGTGAAAGGGGCCCGGCAAAAAACGTTTATTTTCATTATCTATTAACCAGCTGATTATATTGATACCTTGTTTATTAAGTATGAAGACACATCTTCATCCTGTTTGACCAACAGTCAGAAGGTATTTCGTAAAACAGAGAAAGGCCTCAAATTATCACAGTGGAAGCAACTAAATACTTCATGTGAAAAGTATGCCTGCCTTTTTATGTGATTTAGATTTTCAGTCATTTATGCTCTCATGCAAAAATGTTAAACCTTTGTAGGGTCTCTGTTTGATGATAACCTTTTAATGTTTGAGTGCCAGAACATGAAAGTCATCTTATCATCCTGAAAATATTTATTGTCGTTATTTTCTGGACATTTTAGACTAAATCATTAATTGTTAATTATTAGTTTGCAGCCTTAATTAGGTTTTGGAAACTGCATGTGACACCAGCTGAATTATTTCTGTTTTCCTTTAGATGCACTCACAGAGCGAGATGCTGACGCTCTTCGCCCTGCAGCCACAGAGGAGCAGCCATTTACCTGCCAGTTGTGTGGACGAAACCTCTTGAACAGCTCTGAGCTGCAGCGTCACATCCTTCGACATGGAATATAATGTTTTTTGTTTTGTACGTAGCGAGCGGCGTCCACCCTTGATTTTCCACATGAGAATCTAGATTTGTTTTCATCATCCGTCCTCTACTCTGTTACTGTAAAGTGTAAATCTGTTTAGCCAGGTAACATATATATGTTTTATTGATTTTAACCTTTTTTATAATTAAATGTTTTTTTTGGTACAGCTGTTATGCGTATGATTTAATTTGTGTGATTAAGCAAATCAAACTTTGGAGCTAAGATGGTGGATGTATAAAGTGTGACGCTTTGTCAAAAATACATTAAGGGAAATGCATGAATAACTCATGCAAAGATCCTCGTTTCTTCTTCTTTTTTTTTATTCCTGCAGTTATTTTTAATGAATATGTTAACCATTTAATACTGTAAAACATGCAACAATATTTACACTGTGAACTTTTGTTACATATGGAACATTTATGTTCAGTATGAAGAACTGCTAGACCAACCTCAAAACCATTGATTGTGAAAATGCTGGTGCTGCATTCAGGTGCTGTTGGGTATTTGATACCAGGAAGAGCTGCTGTTATCTGTCAGGCAGCTTAATTTCATTCAGCATCAGTAACACAACTGGATAGAACCTATTGCATTTTCTCAACACTGTATTTAGGATTTTTTTTTTTATTCAATGCAACTTCAGAATTTTACTCAACGGAGGCAAATATTCCATGTACACTTTGTCTGCCCGCTTTAGTTACCTTCAGGATTACAATTGTTTCCTTTTCAGTGAAAACCACGTAAATCCAGATGTATTGATTTTTGAATGTTTGTGATGAACAGAATGATACGTGTTGTGATAATTCTACTGCTTATGCTAAATAAACTTTTTTTTAAAAGCCTCTTGGATCCGCTGAAAGAATCGGTCACAAAGCAGAACACGTTTGTTTTCCTGAGAAACTTGAAATATTGAGAAACGTGGTTCTCTGAGGACAGCAACAACGCTACATAAAAATGATCATGTAGAATAATGCATTGCTGTAGATTCAAGTACCAAACACTGTAAACTAGTTAAAATAGGCACAATGTAAAAAGTGGGACCTTAAAGGTAAACAATTATGCTATTATAAATGAATTGTGAATGATGCGAAGCTTCACTTGGTTGATATAAATGAAAATAGAGAAATCATCTTGTTTTATTGAAACAAAACATTTGTTATTTCTATTTTTTTAGAAATTAAAGCTTTCATTTGTGTTTTAGATTTTTTCGTTAAACAAACTAAAACCATGAGAGCAGATAAACACCGGAAGAGAACATATCAGACGGTTCTGTAAATGCTTTATGTATTACTTTAGAAGATCAAGAAATCAGTGTGAAAAGAGCAAGGCATGAATTAAAAATGCTTTTTTATGTTTAATGTTTTCTAAACAAAACAATTATTTAAACTGAGCTATTGTCATAAGGTACACAACACAACCCCTTATGGATAAGTATTAGATTAGATGAGTATTAATAGTGTTATCTGTTAACTAATAATAATGTATATATATATTTTAACAATTCATTATTTTTTTTCTTATTTGTGGATTGTTGTTTATGTATTTTAGCTGTTTTGATTTTGTTCTGTAGTATAACCTAGTCTACGAGTATAACCAGGGGTGCACATAACTTTTTTGCCCTGGTTCTCAAAGGAGAACCTGGAGATGTTGCTTGGTGCTCATCCTTAAAATTAAATAAACCGTAACTTTTTAGGGGGTCTTGACTTTATTTGCCAGACACACGGCACTGAATACACATGCAGAGGTGAACACAAGACAACATTAGCACGACCAACCTACAAGCTGTCATCACTACCCTCCTGACTGTTCTCCTGACTGCTCTCCTCACTGTCTTCCTCTCTGTCAGACATGGTAGCTGATGATGTAGGCCTACTACTTTCTCTCTGGTTGAGTCTGCGATTAGCTGCTTGCATCCACAAGTCAACAGCTGGTTTTGGGTCGAAAGTCTCTGTTGTCATCTTAGACAAGTGAATGTAATCAAATAAGCATGTGAACATAACCAATAACCTACCATAGCCAATAACAAATGAGTGTCACTCATTTTATTTGTGTTGTTCATTCATATCTTATTTTACCGTAACATTTATTTATTTATGCATTTTTTTTAATCTCTCCAGTTTTAAAGAATATTTTTGGTTAATGTCCTATAGTATAGGCCTACATTGGAATGATTTCAAACCTGTTGATCCCAATAATTATAAAGGAGTGCCTTGGAAATATGTGTTTACATAAATTGTGACCAAACCGTTTGAACTTAGACTAAAGTGAACTATCTAAAGTTCTAAACACTCAGAGTCCGGTCTCACTGAGCTGTAGTTATCAGCCTCTCAGTCTGACTGGAGAGGACTCTCCCTCCACATTATTGTAGAAACATCTTCTTCTTATATCCGTTAGCGCAGCTAGCACCAGATTCTAATAACAACAACACCGGTACCGGTGCACCCTCCCTCTATCCCTCGCACTTTGGCTGTGAGCTGCGGGCGCCAGATAAGCCAACATCCCCCATTTTCATGTGCGAGGGATAGAGGGAGGGTGCACCGGTACCGGTGTTGTTGTTATTAGNACACACACACACACACACACACACACACACACACACACACACACACACACACACACACACACACACACACACACACACACACACACTGAATATTCTCAATACCACAACCTGGAACCTCTCACTCTCTCCCAACCCTGTCTACTTCTTTGCACTGAGCCAGTTGCTCAAACAGACAAGCCTGTTTACAGTTGTCGGCGAAATGCCGCTCCTCTGTCTTCATCTTCAGTCAGAGCATGAGACTGAAGTTCCCACTGTGGGTCAAAATAACGCGCTGTGATGTGCCGTCGACACGTTGGATGCGATCCGAATGATCTAACGCAGCCCCTCGTCCTCCACAATGTTAAGCTGTAGCCACCCATTTAGCTATCGCTGTTGATGTCCAGGCGTCTCCCCGGCAAACTTTCAAGCGTGGTCTGCCGCAAGCGAGCGGCAGGAGCGGGGATGTCAGCATCAGCCGTGTGCTTGGCTTGCTGTTTAAAACACCTTTTTTTGTATCCATATCTCTCGCTAGAATCTCCCACCATCCAACTAACAACAACAACGTCAAGCCTTTGGGCTCTGAAACTACGGGGCGGGCCGAGGACAAATACACATGCTTTGATCGCACGTTAAAATAATTAGTGGCGTTAAAAAATGTTTGCGTTAACGCGTTATTAACGAGTTATTAACGCGTTAACTTGACAGCCCTAATAAATATGTGTCCCCTCTGTGTAAAGAGGTTCTGAAAGTTTCAGGAAAATATATTCTCTCTATTTATGTCCCAATCCATTTATATGGATACATTCCACTTTGTAATGTCACAACTGTTTTTTGGCTTGTGTAACCATTAGCCAATAAAACAACCAAGGTAACACCCGCCAACCGTATCACCTGAATATCCTCCTAGAGTACCATTGTGTTTTTTTTAACCAATCATCTCTCAGAGGGGCGTGGCCAGCAGCAGCTCAATTGCATTTAAAGCTACAGACACAGAATCAGCACTTTTGAAACAGAGGGGATTATGGGATGCTACAATGCATGATCTGTTTGGTATTTCGAGCCAAACACTTCAGAGACATGTTTTGTATATATCTGAGACCTCTAACATGTTTTAGAAAAATTGTTTAGGGGACCTTTAAAGCTTTCACTTATTTTTACTTTGTTAGACCCATTCATATGAAGATGGCATCACAGCAGACACTTACTGTACTCCGGCTCCTCTGGCTGTGTGGGGTCAGGACTGGGCTCCGCCTCCTCAGCCGGGCTGCTGATCTGCAGCTCTTCCTCATTGTTCCCTGCCTCCTCCTGGCCTGTCTGCTCCAGGCTTGACACCATCGTCTCATAGGCTTTCCTGGCCTCAGACGACAACTCTATCATCTTATGATAGAAGTCCTGTGGGTAAGAAAGTTTCAGCTTGCTAAAACAACTTTTTATATGCTTATTTTAAAACAGCTTTAAGAATCATTTCAAGGACATCTTTCTTCTAAGTGATAAGTACGCAGAACATGAATATAAACCCCACCTGTGCACCATCATAGTTGAAGATGCCCACCAGGCTGACAGGCACTGCCTTGTTGACGCAGCGACCCAAAGCTTTCCTGGAGAGGGCAAACACAAACGGCACCCGTTGTTCACGACAAGTGTCGATGATGGTGTAAAGAGCCTCGTCCAGGCCGCCTTTGGACTGGATGCGTTCACAGTTGGGTGAGATGACGACACACTTGACCTTCCTGAGTTTGAGGTGCTTCAGGACTTCTCTGAGCCCCATCACAATGCGTCTTTTCATGCGGGCCTTCATGGGGTCCTTCTGGTAAAGGCGGTCCTGGAATCGAACCAGCTCCTTCAGCAGAGTCGTTACACACTCATCCACGGTTTTGCTCAGCATCTGGTTGCAATAGCTGTACAACAAATATACAAAATAAATGTGGGACAAACAGTGATTCATTAAGTAATTGTGTGAGATCAAATATTTTAGACAGAGAACAAACATAGTTTACAACTTGTGACTGGATGTGCAGGTTTCGGTCTTACTCTCTGAACTTCCTGCTGTGGATTTTGGGTCGACTGGGTTGGCAGGGCACAGGGGGTGAGATGGGTTGTTCATCTACAATCTCCTCTTCATCGCCCTCTTTCACCATTTGGCTTGTGCAGTTCATCTCTGACTGATCTTCAAGTTCTTCTGTAGGTGTAGGACTCCGGAGCTCACCTGCAGAAGCACAAAGTACATCAAATATCAGCTGTAATCAAAGATCTAATGTTATGTGTTGTTTCTCATGCTTGATCTGACCTGGTACATTTGTGTCACACTGCTCTTCTTTTTCCGCATCACTGGTAGGTTTTAACACACTTTCCGGCAGTAGCCCTCTCTCCTCCAGCAAACGTTTTTGTTTTCTCTCCTCTCTTTCTTTTAAAATGACCTGAATGTAAGACAGAAATATAAGAGACAAAACAAAGGCTGAAATATCTGTGTTTGCTACAGAGTCAGAGATTGACTTACCTTTTTAAGAGGAGTTGGTTTCTTGGCTTTTGGCACCTCTCTCTGCTTTCCTTTCTTCACCAAAGGGCTGGTGGAATCCAGGGGATTGTGTGCAATTTTATCCTGCTGCCAGGGAGGCTTTTTCTGGACTAATGGTTGCTTCTGGACAACTGGTAGTCCTCCACCAACTACAGAGAAATCATTTTATTTGAAATGCCTTACACCAACAGATCAATAAGCATTGTCCCAGGAATGCAAGTGTAATCAAACAACATATACTTAAAATAGTATTTAAGAAAGAGATAAAGAAAAAAAGAGAAATAGAAAGCCATTGAATTATAGTCCAAGATGCCCACCTGAGAGAACGAGTGGTTTGGCGTCCTGCTTGACTTTTTGAGATTGCTTCTTTTCCAAAGCGGCCAACATGTTTCCGATGTCCAGCTGAACAGGAACTTTGCTTTTCTTCCCAGACACCTTTTCAGCTTTCTAAAAATCAGGAGACCAAAAATCATATCAACAATTTGTGTAGTTAACTCTGCATCAGCCAATCAGATTGCTACTCCATCACTGCAAGCTGGACCAAGGTCCCCTAACACGGCTATGGTACATTACATTTTCACAATCAATTGATCAACATAAGTTTATAAATAACACAATAGAAGTAAGACTAAGGAAAACACTTAACATGGTTTGGCAAAATGGTGGAATGAGCTTTCCATTGAAATCAGGACAGAAAGTCTACATATCCTGTGTCGAAACTGCAAAACCCACTTGTTTTGCTTGTACAGTTTCCTTAAGGATACACACAGTTTGAAAACAATTCACACTTGTTTTATTTGTGATAAAAAATACCAACCTGTCCTTTCTTAGATGTCTCTGTTGGCTGAGATTTTCCGGCAGCTGATTTTTCCTTGGTTTGGTCAGCAGACTGATGCTGAACAACTTCTCTTTGGTTTTCCTTAAAAAGGAAAAGAAATAACACAATATGTGTTTTGCAAATTGCTTCCAACTATAAAAGCAAGGAATCTCTGTCTCTGTTGGTTAATCTTGGCTACTTTACACGTGGCAGGAGTTTTGCTGGGGACCCAAGGGCGTGCGCTGTCCAGACTGGGTGAGCATTCAATATTGACCAACTATATCTTTAAATAAAAAAGCTAATTCCGATTCTACTAATTAAATCCCTACATGCTCTAGTTGGTAGCTGCAGTATGAGTAAGCCCGTTGCCAATAGGGGGCTTAAGAGGGCTTAGCCCACTTAGTTCTATTTTGTTTTGATCTCATTTTAAAGACATTAACCTGTGGATTTTCCACCTAAGTAATTTCATATTAGCAAAACCAGACAAAGACACAGTGTTTTGATTATGCAAACCCATCTGGGAGAAGAAATAACTGATTTCTACCTCATTGCCTAGTTTTGCTGCATAGCTGCTGGTTGTCAATCTATCTGCCCCAGTCAGAGCAGGAGTCAAGCCAGGGAACTCTTCCTCATCCTGAGAAGACAAAATGCAACAAAATCATCCTCCAACACAAATATACTTAAATATATTATATATAGAAAAAGAGACATCATTTTCATTTACCTCAAATTTAGGAGGTGCCTGATACATTGCTGGCTCTTCGGGCTCAGCTTCTGCATCTTCACCTTTAGATTTCTTCTTCTTTTTCTTTCTCTTTTTCTTCCCTGGAGCTCCCTCTTCCTGCTGTGCAGTCCTTTCTTCTGTCTGAAGAGAAGGGACAGAAAACAATGTTGCACAAGGGACTGCAGAAAAACCCAGATAATTACCTGACAAAGACATGTATTACTTAAAGGTACTGACACCTTTAACAGAATAAAAAGCCATGTATCAGGCAAGAAAGATCAAGTTCAAATACTTTAAAAACGAAATACAACCATTTTTAAGACTTTTTCCTAGGCTGAATTCAAATATAAATGTAATCTAACCTGCATGTGGTCACTGTTGATGGTCTTCTCTTTAGGAACAGGTTTCTTTGGAGGCTGAGAGGCAACATTAGCCCAGGAGGTTACCTCAGGCTGACCTGCTCACAGAAATAAATACATAGATGAAATGAAATATAACTGACACTGCCTTATAGTCATTGAAAGGCTGACTACGGGTACTTTCTCTTACCTGTTGACGTAGCTGATGAATCTGGCTTAGCATTGGTGTACATTTTTCGGGGGTCAGTCTGTGTTGGGGATTCTTTCCTGGCAGACTATTCAAGAGAAAATTACAGTAACACCAAATGTATGAGTAGCACTCTACGTTTGTGGAGCATTCAGTGCGAACTGCACAACATCACATTTCATTCCTCACCTTCCATGAAGATGCTGATGTTTGTGTTTGTGGGCTCAGGGTTGGAGGAGGAGTTAGACCCCAGCCTTCTCTTGAAGCAATCGGAGGGCCCGGTTTGCCAATCGGACCCCCAGCTAACTCTGGGAAGTCAGTAATCTTCACTTCAAATGGGGCCAAGTCTTCCTTTGCTGGTTTGGACTTCCCTTCAGAGTTTGACCTGGCACTTCTAAAACCTAAAGGTGCAATAACAAGCAAAGTTTAATAAACATTATTATAATTATTCAGGAATAATTCAACAAAGCCATGGGTGATGCCTAGTACCTTTTTTCTGGGCTTCCAGTGAGTTCTTGCCCAGAAATCTGCCTTGTGCAGGGAAGCCAATGTTGCCTTTTGATGTCTGTGAAGTTGGAAAACAAATCGCTGAAATTACTTTCACAAAGAATTTTTTTTCCTGTAAAATGATAGAGGTGCAAATGAAACTAACCTTTGCTTGTGCATCCTGTGTGGACCGTTCTCTCTGCAGGACATCCTCCCTGGTGTCTTTAACTCGACGGCTGCTGCTGTAGCCATGGCTTCTTGACACGCCTACTACTTTTCCCTCTGCTGTTGCTCCATTTATATTTGATGGATTCTGCTTCTGGCTCTGACCTGACGACCAGTTCCTTAACACAGTTTGGATATTTACACAAATAAGGGGCTGGAGGTCGGTCTATGAGTTCCCTTCAACTTCAGACAGATAGGTCCAATATAAGTGAAAACAATTATTGATTACAACACTTGGACATCAACACAGAGATTACAATTTAAAGACATTTGTTTCATTTTTCCACAAGGAGACGAATACCTTTTGTCAGTTTGTGTATGCTCGTTGAAGGCTTTTATAATTACATTTTCACAATCAATTGATCAACATAAGTGTATAAATAAAATGTTCACAACACAATAGAAGTAAGACTTATGAAAACACCTAAAATGGTTTGGCTAATGAAAGCTTGAGTACTTGCAGAATTCTTATAGTTCTGAGTTTATGTCTTCATGTTTCATTGCAGTTTTCTTTAGTCACTTTGGATAAAAGCATAATCTAATGAAAAGCAATGTAAAGACTATCCATACTATCCACTATTCATACATCCAGTATTGCAATCTTTCTTAGAAACAAATCCTAATACAGATTTAAGAGAACAGTTGACTTTATTTCAGTTGACTGTCGGTCTGTTAGGCTACTATATTTGATAGACCTTTGACTACTTGCACTAATAAAACAAACACCATGCACAAACAACAAAGACACACCAAAAAGGTAAAGTGATTGATTTCCTAAATCAAGATGTTAAAACAAAATCTCTGATCATACGCCTACCCTCTTAAACTCTGTTCGGACACATAAGGATTTGGCAGCATTAGAGGTGGGGATGAGGCTGTGTGTGGCTCTGCAGGATCCTTTCTCTGTCTCCACTGCAGCCTCAAGTCAGGAGACTGCAGGGCAGCAGATGACAGTTTGCTCTCCTGGGGAAAAGTAAAGATTGTCAACAGTCTGCTGGAATACGACCTTTGGCTAGTTATTCAAGTGAAGCCTTGTATTGCCACACTTATATCAAAACTACTAGATCACTTTAGACACACACTTCTCTCAGACTAAATAGTTGGTTAGTCTCAACTTTTGTTTCTAGTTCAGTTAAAGATTAAACTATTTAGCCGTTAGCTCAAATCAACATCTAGGTTAGCTAACGTGACATAGACCTAACTTTTGAGTATACTTTCGAAGCTAAATACATTACAAAAAGTCTCAAAAAACAGCATATTGATCCGGTAATAGGGCTGTTAACTTAAAGTAACATCTACACAAGCACTTAAGTTATCCAAAAGTTAGCAGTTAGCTACACACGACAGGGTTTTTTTAGCGTTACTGGCTAATTTGCTAGCTAAAAAACAGTCGTAACGTTATTTCCGGTAAACTACCTTGTCCATATTCGGGTTTTCCTATATGTAGTCACATATCCGCATGTTCACTCTGACTTCCACGTGTTGTCAGGCTCCCTGTCACAACGCTACTGCGTTTATCTAACTACTTCCACAGTGTGTAAGCTCTACGGGCTAACAACCTGTTTGATAGCATAGCATAGCAGCTAGCTTAGTTCAGCCTGAAACTGCTGAGTGTGTGCAGTGAGGAGAGCTAACAGCGACATCTTCTGGCTTACATCCCAACTAACACATCTTCAGAAGCTCCAAACAACACTAACTATAATAATATCTACAAATAATAATATATTAAGAGTATGAATAAAACAATATTGTGTCACCATTTAACTAGTTTGAATAAAGAAAGCACAAATAACACTGAGTCAAGACTTTAGCCAGTTGTGATAACATAAAGCGCTGTCAAATTGATGATGGAAATACAAAATCAGTAGTACCATAAGTGGTTACCAAACAGTGTCACAGCTCTCTGTCAATCATATGTCTTTAATATCTTTGCATTCTTGATGACATTTTATATTGAATTATACTGTTGTATTTGGTAGTCTTTTCTGCTCCCTCGTTATATTATGTGTTATTGATGCCATTATTTAACCATATCATCAGTCGGGTTTACATTGTTAACATACATTTGGTAACTGCTGCTATTTATCACTACTCTTACTTGAACAATACCACTGTTAACCTTGACATATTTTTCTTGATATTTCCTTGTTTAGTTTAAATCTTAGATATGTTTTGGAATAACAATATGTAGTCAAGTTATAGTGTAAAGAAGCAAAACATGAAAATACTAAATGAAAGTTTATTAAAAACATTTTTGTGCGATCTTTAAGTGTGATACAATATGTATTCAAAACAATAAGAAAAACATAAAATAATTAAACTTTAAAGTAAAATGCTGCTTGTGAATTCTTAAAAAATGCATTATAAAAAAATATCTACAAGCATAGTTGTTCTCTGTAACCCACGCTATCAAACACATGTGCTCATTCAAAAAGGTAAAATGTAATTTGTTTAATATTAGCACTTGGTTTTTGGCATCTGCATCATGAAAGATTTATTTCATGTGAGGATACTTTTTTGCAAACAGTGCAAAGGGTATACATCTCATTATTATGTTTGTATGTATCAGAGTAAGACACTAATGCTTTTTCTCCCAGCCGATTGAATTAATGTTATAATGTTTACAACATAAAAAATGTCTGCAATCAGTCTTTCACTCCTCCTTTAGCCTGCTGGCTGTTCTCAGGAGAGCCAGAGGAATAACGAAAGAGGCCGATGTAAGGAGAAAGCAGATCTGAGCTCCAGCTATCCAGTATACTGTGAAGAAAAAACAACAGTTATTATAAGTACACTGCAAAGAGCTTATTTTACAAGGCAAAAATATTCATACACAGTGCACACATAGGTACAATATGTCATATTTTGGATTTTAGCAGCATTTGTTGCCATTGCTGTCTGTCTTACTTACCAGAGGATGATACAACTGGTCCCAGTGCTCTGGCCAGAGCGCCCAAACTTCGCAGAATCCCCATCACTGTGCCCTTCTGATTGGCTGACCCTGTAGATTTATCCACAGTAGATAATCAGCAACATTGTGGACAATGGTTTGTACGTTTTCATAAATATAAAATAATTAAGATGCTAACCGTGGTCAGAAACAAGCGTAGACAGGCATGGAACAACTATTGCAGCCGCTGTTACAAAAGTAAATTACATTAGACGTAAACACAGGGTACATCAATATTGATATATTGAACAGTATTATTTTTGTGTGAATTTGATTAAAAAGGCACTGTGTAGTTTATCTATGTTCACTGTTGAAAAGTCTTACTTTTTTGCTATGTGGTTTGATATTATATTTTCAATCTCATTTATTTCAAATTGTAAATCTACTTACAGTTCATGCATTAAACAATTTTTTATCAATTATATTTCACAAATTCCCTACATTCCTAGGTCAAATATAGGGTCTAACTAGTCTGAACATGACACAAAATGAAAAATGAGCTCACCAAATGAGTATAACGCCAATCCAACGTAAAGCATTGTAATATTCCATGAGAGCCCAATGAGGATAAACGCTGGGATTAATGCAATGATTGCCTAAAAGAAGAAAAAAAAGATTAATTAAAGAACTGTGGTTTATCATGTATTTGCAGCAATGTAAAGAGTATTTTATTGTGCAGCTATTTGTCATGTAAACAGAAGGAACTCCTACCACTTGAACAGCCCTGATATGCTGCCCAGGTTTGATTCTGCGAGCATAACCCCCCTGTATGGAGGCCATGATGACACCGATGAAGAAGAACATCTTTCCCTGCTGCATACTTGAAAAAGTAAGAACACAGGTTGTACAGCTTTTTAAGTGCAAGATGAAAGCACTTTTAAGGAACCTAAACCAAAAAAAGCCCAGATTCTGGAAGCCTTGATTGATAGCAAAAATGGTATAGCGAATATTGTACTTATAATATATAATTCCTCTACAGGTTCAAATGTTCAAAAGGGCTTTTTTGTCATGAAAAAATTGTATTGCAAATAAATATATGTACATAATTCCTCTATAATCGAAGCAAACAATGTATATTGTCTCTACTACTGGTTTGAGATGCAGTAACAAACAAATATGATGATGGGATTGTTTCATTTAAAATATTTTAAAATACTTTTGGTTTGTGTGAATTAAACACTACATGATCTTGAACAATTAAGCATTTTTCCCGGAGTAAATGTGTATTAAAGCATACTCCTAACCTCAAATAAATATAAGTTCAATGAATTCCCTAAACTTTTAAGACTTTGTATGAACCTTGTAACAGGGTTGGTGTCCAGGTGTGTTTACTGTTAATGAGGGAGGCCAAAGCTTTATCTTTGAGTTCATACCTTGTAAAGTGGAAGCGTTGGTGAGTCAGAAAACTCAGAGTGAACTCCAGACCAGAGAACAGGAAGAGGTAACAGAAATAAACCAGACCCAACGCTTGAAGTTTCTGCATTCCTGTAAAGAAATGTCCACCTTTTATCCATCAATGGGCCAAAGTTCATCCATGCATTATAAATTGGTCCAATACGTGTAAGCTTTTGCCTCACAGAGCAATCCAGTCTGTGCTGCACTCACTTTGTTTTGGAGGTGGATCTTTTGTTCTGCTAACAGCTGAAAAATGGAACAACGATAACGGGTTGAGAAAGTCACTGGACTCCCCAAATGTTGAAGATGAAGCCTAGGATGCAAACAGAAAAACCAAAAGATACTTTTATACATATTTGTTAGAGAGTGTACTTTAAACAAATATATTTTATTTATAAATATTGTATGTTTTCGAGCTCCAAAATGCCTAAACATAGCTTTTGAATTATGTTGCCTTGTTTTTTCTTCTGTGTGGGCTTGTACAAACTGTACTTGGTTGACAGCTCTGTCATTGTTTCCTTTATCTTTGTAGTACTTTTTAGTGCAAGACAATGTACACTGTCATTGTTCTTAGCTCATAAAGTTTGGCAACACCAGGTAATTCCAAGCATACCTACACCCAGCGTCAGACTGACAAGACGTCTAAATACAAATCACTTCCTGGAGTCTATTCAAGAAGTTCCAAGAAGTAGTCTGGCATTACCCAACATCAATGTGACGTTTTCACAAGTTTTTGCACGGATTAAACAAACAGGTTAATTAGTGAGCCAACATTCTTTTTACTTTGGATAAAAGCCAGACAAGCTGTTATCTCCTGCGTACAGACTTTTTGCTAAGCTATGAAGAGATATAACAGCAATATAAAGCGTAGTCCCCGTGTCTGGCTAAGTTTGTCACTTGGCTGAGTGAATGTTTCCAAAATAATTTTCATAACCAACCTTGGCATCCTTTGTGAGCGTCTCTGGCATCATGACCCAGATAAAGAGCAGGTCAGCAACACTGAAGGCCAAGGCGAGCAGAGCTGGAGTTTGGTAGAAGACATTTCCCGTTGTTCTGGAGCGGACGGCAAAGTAGGCTCCCATCAACGGGCCCACAGTGAAGCCTAGGGAGAAGGCGATACCGATCATAGCCTGGTGAGGATACAAATAAAGTTAGATTAAGGACATTTACCTGATCATCTAACAGATAAAAAAGACAGCAAGAGTGGATATTCAGCAACTTCATGTCCACTAGCGAAATGTTGGAGTCAGAGCCCTGGTTAAAGATTCAAATCAAAACTAGCAGTACTTTCACACATCTAGCAAAAAGATTGAGCATACATTCAATCACATTATGTAGTTTTAAGGTATCATATTATTACAATACACTTCCTGTTATGGACAAAGAAAGTCTGTGCTTACCATTCCTCTGTTCCGTGCTTTTGGGCAAGGCAAGTCGGCAACGATGGCAGTGCAGAGGCTGACGTTGCCCTTACAAATGCCACCAATTACTCGAAACAAAAGGAACATGCTGAAGCTCCGGGAAACGGCCCAGACCGCATAGGAGGAGATCAGCCCCAACTGGAACACAAGGAACCCAATTAGACCTTGTTGAATCACGTCGGATGGAAAAGGCTGCATGGTTTCTTCTTCACAAATTAAGTGTGAGTAGTGCCAAGTGAATGATTCTAGTTGCATCCAATGTGGAGGGATACTTATATATAGAAGTTATTAAAAAAGGTATAATATGTCGCTTCACTCACTGTGGTAAGAATGAGCAGGGGCCGCCTGCCATAACGGTCAGACAGGGCTCCGGTTACAGGTGATGATAGGAACTGCAGCAGTGAGAACAGCGACCCTATCAGACCTGAAATTCATCAAGGAGCACGTAATTAATGAACTCTCTTTGCATAAATAATATGTGTATTGTTTATAGTGTCATAAAAGATAGAGCTCCACATAGGCTAGGTATACCTCCAAACAGGACACTGTTGTATTTTTCTTCCATAGGGATCCCCAAGGCCTCCCTAAACAAGTCCACAAGACTCTGCAGAGACTGATATACGCCATCCTGTCCAACAAGTCAAGGAAAATACAAAATCACACTGGAGAATAATAACAGAGGTCCACTCAGCATGAGTCAGTACGCAGACACTCACACACGCAGCCAATGGCTGATAATCTAACAACTCCTGAGTTGGTTTTCATGGATCATATTCTTCACATAAGGCTTCCTTTGTTCACTTCTGCACATCATTTGGCCAAAATACAACACTCAAAATCCTTTTTTAACCACAGTCGA